CACTGCAGCGCTGTCGTGCGCGGCATATTTTATATATTCCCGGTGGGGTAGCGCTTTTCACAAAACTGTCGCGGGCTCCACTTCTCACGTGCTTGCACCAGAATGCGTCTCATGCCGCTGTAATTGTGTTCGCGGCGTCATTTGTTTGCGCTTGCGTATCCTCCACACACACACACACACCACACGCACACACGCACACACACACACGCACACACACGCACACCACACACACACACACCACACGCACACTCACACACACGCACACCACACACACATCACACACACACACACACACACACACACAAACAAACAAACAAACACACACGCACACACACAAACACGCACACACACACACAAACACACACACACACACCACGCACACACACGCACGCACGCATGCACACACACACCACACACACACACACACACACACACACACACACAGCGTGTTGAGTTCACACAAACGCGCTTCAGGCGCCAGCTTTTGTTTCTCCTCCCCGCCTTTGTCGCGACCGACTGGCCCTCTCGCAGGTTATCTTTGCTGAACATCGGGGAAGCGCCGCATTCGCGCTGCAGCCTATAGTCCCGTAAAAGTGTATAGCGCCGACCTGGCACGGCGGCACATGTGCGGCATTACACTGCGTTTTCCGTGAACTTGGGTGTAAACGCATTTTGAAAAAGGGGAGCTCGGAAGCGGTGCATAATTTGCCCTAGTTCGACTTTGGATGCAATAGTTCGCACTATCGCATCTGGCATACGACTATACAGGGAGTGAGCGGCATTGCAGAAGCTATAATGCCATAATGGCGGCTGCAGACTGTGCAGGAAGCGGCATCATTGCGTCCACAGGCAGTTCAGGAGCGCGCACTTCAGCATGCGTGTCAAGAGTTTCCATGGAGGGAAGTTTTCAAGCGCGCGCCATAAAAATTACTGCAACCTCTTTCCACTCATATCGCTACAGTATTTGACATCCAGGTCTCGTGTAATCGTCAGATAAAGGATGCAAGTCGGATGGAATGCAGTTCGTGGTGTCATCACAACAGACACGAAGCAGTATACACCCATGGCTCCCTCTGAACAACGCATCAAAATGCAAAGCAGCTTCGATGAGTTGACATGCGTAAGAGACCGGTATCCGAGGCGGTCATATCAGTCGATTTACATCTAAAATAAAATTAGAAAGCATACACGTGATGGTTTAGCCACTGAAACGTGAAAAACAAGAAATGAGGAGAATAAATCGAGGGGACTTGTTGAATAGTTACAAACATCAACCGTTCGAAGCCGAAAGACGTTGAAACCACGAAAAGCGAATAAGGGCAGTAAAAGAGTGCCTACTTGGGCTGGTTGGTATTACATTTTTGAAAGAAATATACTTTCTTAGTGCGCAAGGATCGTTTCAGAAAGAAGACAGATATATGCTAGAGCGCTCTGTCCTATCTGTCTGCTTTCTGAAATGTTCCCTGCGCACTAAGAAAGTATATGTATTTCGAAAATCGGATGAGGGCAGTACTTGTACTTATTTAATTGGAGTGTATTAATCGCGAGATAGTGGCAGGAAGTGAAAGTGGGTGAAATAAGAATAATTAGCTTGCCGCTATTGCATACCGAGCCTACAACCTTTGCGTATAACGCGAACACTCTTACACTATACGTATATGACAGAATTATATGCTACAGGAAAAAAAAGTTGGAGGACGTCTGATCTGATCTTCGCTTTGAGAATAGATATCGTAATGGGGCGCCGTTCATATTGCCTTCTCGGTCGGTAGCCTCTTCACGATGGACAGCTCAACCACGCCCTATACGAAAGGAACGCCTGTGCCAGTAACGTTGTCCATGGGAAACTATAGTGTAGGAGGCCTATACTGAGTGCAGTTGTGAAATGCCCACTACGCCATAATTGCCCCCTTTTGCAAATCAGAATGTGCGAACTACGCGTCAGTACAAGGCAACAGGCGATGTTGCTTCTGGTGACGAATAAAAATGTCTGAGCGCTTTGTAATGAGTGGACATTAAACCCCGCACCCATGGTTTGACGCGAGGCGTCGTCAGGGCATCCACACGTCCTGACGCCTGGCACAACTCTATATGCTTCTGCCATGCAAATGATTGATATGTGGGGTTTAACGTCCCATAACCACCATATGATTATGAGAGACGCCGAATATAGTGGAGGGCTCCGGAAATTTCGACCACCTGGGGTTCTTTAACGTGCACCCAATTCTGAGCACACGGGGCTACAACATTTCCGCCTCCATCGAAAATACAGCCGCCGCAGCCGGGATTTGAACCCACGACCGAGAACCCGCGACCGAGAACCCGCGACCGAGCAGCCGAGTACCTCAGCCACTAGACCACCGCGGCGGGGCTTCTGACATGCAAAATTACGTGCGTTAAGTGGACTCTTGGCATCACGTGACTTTATTGTATTCGTTTTTTTTTTTCGGAAAGCAGATGCGAGCACACTGGCGTGGTTCCATGGTAACACCTGCTTGCCCCATCCAGAAGGCCTGAGTTCTTTTGTTCTTTTTGCTCTCTACTCAAAGCAAAGTTAAAAGTATATATATATATATATATATATATATATATATATATATATATATATATATATATATATATATATATATAGAGAGAGAGAGAGAGAGAGAGAGAGAGAGAGAGAGAGAGAAAGAGAGATGTCACTGACGAACAACGCTGACAATGTGCAAAACAGGCGCTTTAAAATCATCGTGTTAAGGTTAAATAAGGGTGGATGGGGGGAACAACTAATGTCCTATAGCTCAGCTAGTGGAGCATAATTTTGTTTACTTTTAAATTGAACCTAATTGCACTTCAACATTTGAATTGAACGTAATCAAACGAAGTGCAGTAAAACAATACATGTTAGGAACATCACATCACAGGCGTAACGAAACAACACACGCGCAATATGTGAAGGTTGAAGGATCGATCCCCTACGGGAATTTGTTTACCTTGTATCTCAACAATTCTTGAACATCAGTTAAAAAATAAGAGTGCGACAGATACCACCTGCCGACACTTTGCTTGGCTTTCATATCTGTAGGCTGCGAATGGCGGAGAGAGAGGAAGATGTACCTCCCTCTCTCCGAAATAAAAGCAGTTTCGCCAGCGCGAAGGAGCCCTGGGTGCGACATATCGATCTGTGTCCGCAGGTATTGTATAGTCCGGCAGGGCACTTAGCCCGTTATCGCCGCTTCTCTTCAAGAGCAGCAAAATCGGCTGAGGAGGTCAGTGGCATCTGAAAAGGCGGCTTTACGTTGACACAAGAAATTCCGCTGCGTCTGCCTACGCTGCCAATATCCTCCGAGCGACAGCAACGCATTTACACGGGCGCTTCTCTTTTGAAGAACAACGACATTACAGTAATAAAATGCCATATATATATATATATATATATATATATATATATATATATATATATATATATATATATATATATATATATATATATATATATATATATATATATATAATATATATATATATATATATATATATATATATATATATATATATATATATATATATATATATATATATATATATATATATATATATATATACGTTGAAGCGTTTCATTATTACGTAGATCTAGGTGCACGTTAAAGAAACTTGAGTGGTCGAGGTTCATAAGTAGTCGCCCGCTATGGAGTGCCAAATAATCGTTTCGTGATTTTGTAACTTAAAACACCAACTTTTTAGTTTGTTTTGTATTTGCCTGTAGCGCGAGGGAAAAAGCATTATGTTTAAGTCATGGTCCGTGAGAGCTGTAAATACAACTTTCGTTCTCCTGCAAGGCAACTTCGCAAGATGCCGTCCAGACCACCAATGTGCTCGAGACCGTCCACAGAAAGTTTTGCAAGGAGGTGTGGTGCTTCTGCGGGCAGGCGGTGTGCGTGTGGTGGTGGCCGGGGGGGAGAGGCATGCCACAAGCTGTACCTCTCCTTCTAAGCAGCCCTTTTCGTGTGCGAGAAGTGGTTATAAGAGGGAAAAGAAGAGAAAAGTGAACCCCGTAACTGTCTGCATCAGGGTACGACACCTCAACAGTAGCTCACAAGGGTTGGGGGTGAGGAGGGATTAAAAAGATAGGATTAAAGGTATATATATATATAGAGAGAGATGCGCTGGGACAGCGAGCGAGGACATACGAGGGATAGGAGAGATAGGAAAGATGGAAACACGGCCACAGGAGTCCGAGGACGGGGCACCACTTGCGAGAGCTCTTGTTGGCATCAGGAGATGGCGTAGGGCAAGTGCAGTTGGTCAGAGCTACGCTGTTGTCGGAGATCGGCGTCAGGAGATGACGTAGGGCCAGCCCAGTCGGCTAGAGCTATGCTGACGTCGGATATCACGAGGGCACAACCGGTCGGCCCGGAATCCAGCGTTCGTGTGCTAGATTGGGTCGCAGAGTATGGACACCCGTGATTTGTGGAGACCTGTGCCCTGTCCTACCGTATTCATTCGCATAACTCCATCACTTGTTAGCACTGGCTAATTCAATGCGATTGACAAATGTATGCTAGTGTTGCCATATATGTTGGCTAATAGCTATAGTGTTGGCTAATTTTATCAATTTGCTGTTAGAACAGAAGGATTGTCCTCATTCAATCTAATGAATCTGTCAGAACGTACGTCTCATATTTCATTATTCGAAGTATACGAGACGTCGTGAGGGTCTGAAATAGATACATACTGAACGAACACATTAAGAGCGCGAACTGGATGTGTTATATTCCGTGTCGGAGTCCATATGCTTTCCCTAAACTGGTTCTGCCTGAATATTTCGAACAGCAATATATGCGCAAGGTGGCACTGTGAAGCTTGCCTGCGTCATTTATAGAGAAGCGAATCATGCCGAGTAAATTATGAAACAAATAAATAAATTATTTAATTGACGAGTCTTTTTCTTGAGAGACTTTCTGGGTGATGGTTCCAGCGGCGACGACTGACCAACGCGTGTGGGGTTACTTGCGCAGGTGAGCCAGATGAGCCTGGGACGGTACGTGACGGCGTCCGCGCTGGGCTTAGTGCCGACGCAGGTCATTAACGTCTACCTGGGGACCACGGTGCGCTCCATGGAGGAAGTGCTCGACGACGACACCACCGCGGCCACCGGATACGCCGTGCTTCTAGCTCAGGTATACACTCCTCCGATGGAGTAATATCGTTTGATCTGATGCCTTCCCTTCGCGCAGGTCGTGCTGAGCGTAGTGCTCATGAGCCTGATCGTGCGCAAGGCCCGCCAGGAGCTGCGCGACGCCGTCTTGTCGTCGGGTTGTTCGTCGCGGGCCTCCCTAGACACCGCCTTTTGTCCGCACTTTCCTTGGGTGCCTGTTGCGCCGATGCAGAACGCGTGGGCGCGGCCAGTCGTCTGACCTCCAAACACATGCTTGCCTTTGCCGCGACGCATTGTTTTTTCCTTGTACTTTTTTTTTCTTGCCGCGACTGATCGGCGTCAACTTCCGAGTGATACGGAGCCCCCAGTAAATGCACTCATAGACACCGATGCACGTTTGACAGAGAACGGTTCAGCTACTTCCTTGGACGGGGGACGTTCAATGCCCAGAACCATACATGAACACACAACACCCAGTCTTGCAATGAGAAAGATATTAGGGCGGCTCAGTCCAGCCTGTCTGGAAGGCTGGCGGGAGCTCTCTTGGCAGCCTTTCGGTATGTAAGTATACGAAATATATTTGTAAGGTTGGGATTCAGATAGAAGCACGACGATGCAAATGCGGCTCTTCTTGCGGCACAAAAAACAGCCGGGCAACTTCGTCCGAGCCATGAGAGACGTCGCCCATGGTTTCTTAGTACCAGTGTTTTATACAGGGCACAGTAAGAAAAGTACGCAGTCACTGCCTTCTGAAATAATAATAATGATGACTGCCCGCAATCGCGTGCCTACATAAGCGAGCTTGTCGACACACGGTATATAGTCGAAAAAATAATAAAAAAACGGATGCAATTAGGTAAATGACGAGCATATCTAACTTCCGCGTTCACAAACTTTAGCACACCTTAACATTAGGGTTCGAAAACCTCAACATTGGTTCTAAAAAAAAAAGTGGGTTCCGTAGCAAGTGATATGTCTTGATATTGCCTATGCATTTATTTTGTCCTGTAGGACATATACCAAGTGTCCTAATCATTACCATGCCTGTCGATGTCGCGAAACTTGGGTCTATTTGTTCTTTCTTGTTGATGCGTACTTAGATCTGTACGAAGTTACTTACAATATTATCATGCCTGAAAATAAATATAAGCTTCGTAACGACTCCCCTCTCAGTGTTCATCTTCATTGACTTCAAGGACAAACGTGTGAATCATTTGATGCTGTGCGCCGCAGACAAAGCACGAACAAGCGCGAAGCGCATGTGCCTAAATATCCCGGCTGCACCGGATTTGTTTTTCCTTCTCCTCACCAATAAATATTTCTTCCGACGTGTCACACGTTTTTACATAACTTGGAGTTTGCTCGTTCCCTTCCCTGTCGCCTCACAAACGTGTAGCACACTTCTATGAATGGTATTCGCGATTTGGTGTAACCCTCGCGTAAACCACACCTGCTATAGTTTACAAGCGCAAGCAATTCCTCCAGGGCGACGCTACCCTATACCCCTAGTGTATGGCTCCGGCAGAAGACAACGATGTGTACCACGTGCTCTGCACGTGTGCGCCGCTCATTCTCGCATAGTATTTGTTCGAAGGTTCTGTTTATGACCTCAAAAGTGACCGGCACTTCACCACGTGGACTCGGAGCAAGCGTCCCATTACAACGAGGTGGACACGAGAAAGATGAACCTTTCTGTCACCTTTTTTTACTACATCTCGCAGGAACGTGTCGCGTGGACTGAAGTGACTTTGAAAAGGAAAAAAGAGGAAGAAATAAGCGCAGTTCCGTTACTGCCTCTCTTAAACTATGGGCACCTCCACAGTTCTGCGCAAGGGACGGGGGAATAGGAATTAAAGGGAGAGGAGAAAAGAGGAACGAAAAAGGTAGAGGTGAAAAAGTGCATTCAGCTGCGAGTCGCTCGCGCGCAAGAAGAAGACCGGTATGCCACACGTAGTCGACTGGGACTACCACCACGAAGGCCGGGGGTACAGTGATGTGCACGTTTTGACACGGGCCAGAGAAGAACTCAGGAAATACAGCTGGTTCGTTCAGGTAGAGGCCGAACCGTTCAGCGACAATCTCGAAGGTGAGCAGGGGCACAACACAGAGATAGCGCTCGCGGGAGCCGACTGGAAGGGCCCAGAGCGCCACTTGAAGTCCCGAAGCAAGCCCAATGAGGATGTCATTCCTGGTTTGAATGTCAGGTTGCTGCGAGGTCTATGTAGCGGGCTCAGTCCTCATGCTTCTCGAGACGGTGACAGGAACCGGCGTTTGTGAAAAATCGCGTGGTGTCTGCGTCGCCATCGAGCGCTTTTGGACGATGGTAGGGGCCGGCTGAGCTGTGGATTAGGGCGGGGCCGTCGTCGTTGTTGTGGGGACGACGGGCGCACTCGTTGTAGGACGAGGGGCGGCCTCCGAGGTCGTGTCGCCGGTACCCGCGAGCGCATCTCGGAAGGAGCAACCCTTAATGATGGAGGCGTTGCTGCCAGCGGTCCTAGCGTGCTGCATGGCTTGGCGGTGAGGCACGGTGCCATCGGTTGAGGCTATGATGACCGCGGCCCTGCGATGGAGTTGCCAGACTGAACTGCGGGGCTGGGTTGCAGAGTGTTTCCCGCTGCAGTTTATGCAACGTGGGTGTACTGCACACGATCCTGAGGCGTGCTTGATGCTGGAGCACAGGCACCGTTCGTCTCGAGAGCAGGTGGCGGTCGCATGCCCGAAGTAGCTGCAACGGGAGCACTGCAGGGGCCGGGGCGAACGGGGTCAAACAGGGTGCTTTTGCTTGTAAAGCAGTATATCCGGCGGGACGGTAGTCCCAACGAAGGTGAGGGTGAGGCAGTTGCTTCTGCGTACACCGGACACGAGGGGCACTGGTGAAGCAATGTCCTCGAAGGGGATCGTTGGGTCCACTCCAAAAACCATGCCAACACAGGTGTTCAGGTCGAGTTGTTTGGCTCGAACCTTGGTCTCGCAGATCGTCTCCACCTGGAGTAGGGCGGTCAGATCGGCAGTAGGGTGGGTGTCGACAGCAACGAGGTGGCGCCGCAAATTGACCCGGACTCGCTGGGTGGCTGGAACCTCAAAAAAAGGTGGCGATAGCATCCCTCGACGCAGCCAGGAAGTTAGCCTTCTTCCCAACAGGCCGAAAGACGATGGTGGCCGCACGTTCACTCGGAGAAAGGTTGCCAACGACGTGGGGACTAGCAGAACGCGGAGGCGTGCTTGGGGGCACAACGCGCTCACTAGAGGCGGACGTGGTTTGCTCGGCGACCGCATTAGTTGAAGGACAAGATGAAGAGGTGTTGCTGTCAGGGGGTATCCCTCGCAGATAGCCACGGCCGTGGCAGGAGACGAGGAAGCTCCGGTGTACACCTTCGCTTTGCTCGAAGCCGAGGAGAGGGCGGCAGCGGGATGGCTGATGGGATGGCTGCTGGCACAATTCAAGCCAGCAGCGTGCTGGCTTGGATTGAGAGTTATTTTGGGAGTCGTCGGGGTCTCTCAATAAAAACGGGTGTAAAGCAAGGAGACACTATCTTTCCAGTGCTATTCACCGCGTATTTACAGGAGGTTTTCAGAGCCCCAGATTGGGAAGAGTTAGGGATAAGAGTTAACGAAGAGTATCTTAGTAAACTGCGATTCGCTGATGATATTGCCTTGATGAATAACTCAGGGGACGAATTATAGATCATTATTACTCAATCGGACACAGAAAATTGAAGAGTGAGTCTAAAAATTAATCTGCACAAAACTAAAGTAATGTGCAACATTCTTGGCAGAAAACATCACTTTGCGATAGGTGGATAGACGCTGGTAGTTGTAAAGGGATATTTCTACTTGGGGCAGGATAGTAACAGCGGAGCCGAACCATGAAAGTGAAGTAACTAGAAGAATGAGGGTAGGGTGGATCACATTCGGCAAGCATTCTCAAATCACTAATGGTAATCTACTACTAAATTTTAAGAGGAAGGTATATAACACCTGCATATTGCCGGTACTTGCATATAGGTGGAGCAGAAACCTGGATGCTAACACAGAGGGTTCAGCTTAAATTGAAGACGACGCAAAGAGCGATGGAAAGGAAAATGACTGGTGTAGCCTCAAGAGACAAGAAGAGAGCAAAGTGGGTTAGGAAACGAACTGCAGTCAAGGATATCATACTTGAAATCAAGAAGAAATGGACATGGGCCGAGCACCTAGCACGTAGGCATACAGGATAACTGCTGGTCATTGAGAGTAACTGGCTAGATTCCCAATAGAAGGCAAGCGAGTGAAGGGGAGACAGAAAGTTAGGTGGGCTGATGAGATAAAAAAGTTCGAAGGTATAATGTGGCAGCAGAAAGCACAAGATTGAGTTGATTGGCGGATCGTAGGAGAGGCCCTGCAGTTGGCGTTGTTAGGTTGATGATGATGGTGATGGTGTTAAACAAGTTACAGAAATACAGTGCGCTAATTCTGAACAGTACGATGGCACCACTCCTCATTTCCAGATCATTCTGCACTGCCACTAGAAACTGGCAGCGGCTTAAGCCCTTCAGCACAACGAGCGGGAAATGAGGAGCGATACGGCGCTGCTTCACCGTATTTCTGTCTCTTGCCAGACCAAGAACAAGCTCCACTTCCACCATGACATTAAACTTTCTGCATGACGAGAAGGGGCTGCACGCATAGGCTGTCACATGGAAGGGAGAGAAATTCAAGTTAAGGGGGATGTGCAACCTTCCTCTTTCCTTTGTTTCCTTGTTTTTGCACTGGGTTGTAATCGTAAGGTGCTGGGTAGTGGTTTTTAAATATAAACAATGAAAGGAAAAGTAAGCCCAGCAACTGCCTGCATCAGAGTGTAGCATCTCAGCACTATAGCTGACAAGGGAATGGGATAAGGAAGAATCAAAAGGGATCGAGGGAGAAGTCAAGATTGAGAGAAAAGTAAAAGATTTGGAGCCCGTTAGAGAAGTGCACGGAGGGGGTGAGCGGTTGACGCAGAGAGCACATCGCGGACGTGAGAACCGCCTGGAACGATATCAGCCGAGCGACTCCCTTGTAATTTTGCAGCCAGAGGTGGGAGGGGTTTAGAGAAGGGAGCTGCAGTGAAACTTCGCCCGTCTCCCCTCGATGGGAGAACCTCGCGCACACTTATGGCTGTACGAACTTGTATTATACGCAAAGCGTCTTATATGGTCGAGCTCAATCCTGTGTGTGGCATGACCATCCTTAGAACGCATGCGCCCCTCCGCCTCCTCTACGCTCCCCCATCTCGCCTCACAACGCCGACTCAGCCCGCGTAGCCCACGCTCACTCACCCTTCTCTCCTCAAGACATCCTTCCCCGCGGCGTTTAAGACCACAATGCACATGTGCTTCCCCTCGCTCCTCTCATATATACGCTCCCCACGTTCTCGCCTTGCAACGCTGACGCACGTCTGCTAGCAAGTTTGTGTTTAGAAAAAATGTTTAGCGATTTTGAGTAGTTCGTACTCAACTATGGGAAAGCACTGAGCCGTCCTGATTTTAAAAACCACTTCTCGCACTGCACAACCGTTCACTGGCCACTTGCCTGTATATATAGGCACTGGATCTTGACCACAAAGGTAGTGCCGGTGGTAGATTTCTGTTGAACTTTGCTGAACAATAAAAATTCGCAGCGTGCTCATTAGCTAAAAGCGGACTGCGGGTCTTTGTGTTCAATCGGAGTCATCTGTCTCTCATTGCCCAATAGCAGCGATTGCCATGTTCCAGTAGGAAACACCGAATCATCGCTGCGTGATTTGCGCCTCCCCAGGTTTCTCTCCTGCGCAACGCCGCGACGATCGCCAGCGTCAAAGCCGCAGCCAGTGTAGGCGTTAGCGCGCGCTGCTTCACATCTACACTCGGTTCCCTTTAGCGAGAGATGGTGTAATGTTTTCTTAACACCGCTCTCGTAGATTAAAAATATATAAACAAAAAATTGGCAGATTCCACGTACAGTGGGGATCCATGATATGCGAAGCACAAAGGAGAAAGGTTGATATATGTCCCTTGAAAATCAGCACAACGTTAGGAGGTGGAGGTAAATGACACCGTACATGACTTCCATGTCATGATTATTATGTTTGAATGTGTTGTTTACCTTCGTCATCTATTCACGTCCCGTGATACCAAATTTAGTATACGTGGAGCTAGCGAAACG